GCGGACAAGAATACTGCGTCGTGGGAGACACGATGAGAATCCGGTGCTGTATAGGGCCTGTATATTATATAGATATATATATTATTATTAATAATTATATATATAATATTATCATGCATATGTACGCAGCTGCTACAAGTGTAGCCGCTTCGCTCTCGCAACGGGAAGTTCGCTTGTAGTGAGCGCGAAGGGGCTTATACACCGGTCGAGTTTAGTGATCGTAATATATGTCTATATATATATTTATATATATATATAGGCGTAACATAGCGATCATACATAGCGTAGCTCGCGCACGTCGAATGTTGCTTAGATACAATAAGGTGACCCAACAGAGTATAATAAACTCGTTATGAATACGCTATGTATACGCCCAAAATTGAAAAAAACATCGATAGTTCAGCGTATGCCAGCGTTTTAGAGAAATTTTGATACGTCCGGCATACGCTGGCTAAATCGTCAATGTGTGACAGGGCCATTATCAGTAATGGCGGCTGCCGCTCCACGAAATCACAGCGATTTGACGGAGTCCGCCCTCTAGGGGTCTAATATATAACTCTATGGGTGACTCCCATTATGTTGGTGGTTGGAGGGATTGGTAATAGCTAAGTGTGCTCGCATATTAGCTGTGCTCTTTCTGACATTTGCTTTATACCCCCTTCACATACACGGATTTTTCTTACGAGTCCTTACGGATCGCCAACTCGTAGTCAATCGCAAGCATCCGTAAATAACTCGCTGGTATCCGTAAATAACTTGTCACAACTCGCAGACACTAAGTAAGGATCGATCCGTAAAAGAAGAGGAAAATTTTTTGACATATAAAAAATCTTCTCACGAGTGTCCACAGATTGATTTTTTCCGTAAATAACTCGTAACAATCCGTAAGTATCGTAAACCGCTCGCAACAACACGTAACCATCCATAAAGTGCTCGCAAGAATCCGTAAATGACTCGTAACAATTTTTTTTACGAATTGCTATGGTTAGTTTACGATTTGTTTACGGATTATTTACGGATTATTACGAGTGCTTACGTGTTGTTTACGATTTTATTCGGGTCGTGTTACGATGGCTTTACGGATTGTTACGAGTTATTACGAGCACTTTACGAATAGATACGTATACTTTACGTATTCTTACGTATTGTTTACGATTTGGGAAAGGCTGCAAAATCAAACACGTCATTTTCAGTTGTTATCAAGAAGTCAGAGAAGTCACATCTCTGCATATCTACTCTACAATATCTACAACTGCTCGCTCTTCCCTCTGGGCTAGTTGAAGGAGCAATTGTAGAAATTGTTGATATAACTGCAATCTGTTTCTCTCATATGCCATGTTGTCTCTCTGAATGTCAGTTGATGATAGATTGAGATTTGCAGGATTTTTATATACTTTTTGCCAAAAAATCGTAAGGACTCGTAAATACTCGTAACTAACACGTACCTATTCGTAACAACACGTAAACAGGTCGTAACTAACACGTAAAAGCTTCGATGAATCGTAACATTCCGTAATATATCCGTAAAAAGCTCGTAAAATGCCCCATAAGTTGCTCGTAGTTATCCGTGACAACTCTTACCAAATCGTGGAATTTTGGCGTAAATACATCGTAATAACTTGTAATAATCCGTAATAAACCGTAAATAGCTCGTAATAACACGTAAATCGCTCGTAAAAGTGGCCAAATCGTAAGGATCCATGTACTTTTACGAATGTGTGCGATCCGTAAGGACTCGCAAGAAAAATTCGTGTATGTGAAGGGGGTATTAGGCATTGTATTGCAGTAACGCCTGGGCATTTATAAGTCATTTTGGCATGAGACTCTCAGAAGACATATTTCAGCCTAAAGTAGAGATGGTATGGTAATAATACATTTACGTCCCAAACATTTCAACTTAAAGGGATACATGACCCTGGATTCCTTCCATATTTTCAGTTAAAATAGGTTGAAATTATGCTTCATAAAAATTTCTTTGTTCAATCTTCATTCGAAATTCTTTTTAAAGATGTTTTAAAACTAACTGCTGTATCGTTGCTTACAATGACGGTGGCACCACTACTTTTCGGCTGCAGGCTACAGTCCGAGGGTGTTTCATATTATTCATATTATTCATTAATCACATCATATTATTCATATTCATAGCAAAATTTAAATTTAAATATATATATATATATTATATATAATCTTATGTACATTCTTTATTGCTTATATGAATTTGCGTTTGCGTAGACTAATATCATTAATGCCTAGATGGATATTGCACTGAATTTCTTTTAATTATTCATGAATGTAACATAGCTTAGCTTTGTGTGAGATGAATTTAGGTATCACATTGCAGGTAAGCATGAATAAATGATTGATAGATTGGGTGCAGCACAGACAGTGCACCTTTGTACGGCTATCCTTTGTGAACTATGCTTCTAGTACCATACATCCCGGACGATGTTTCTACTAGGTGTCCGATTTCATTAAGCCGTTTCATTATGTTTATCCCCTCGCATTTACGTACATCTTCATTGTAGATCAGGTCATGTAGACATAATGTTGTCAAATATTATTTATAATCATGCAAATCAAAGTCGGCACAGTCAGTAATTTCTGTATGGATGCTATGTCTGTAATTCAATTGTGGTTCCTGTCTGATTTCTGCAGTGGATAAAACCCGGAGAGCACGTAGGAACTGCAGACTTGCGCGTCCGTTCCCTCTTGGGAGGAAACGCACTGCCAGTGACAGCGACCTTCATCGTGTCATCCGTGAACTCGAGTACATTCCCGACGACTGCCGTGAGGCAGCTCCATCACGTGACCCTTTCCAAGAGGTAGGCGTCCACCAGGCGGCGCCGTGGCGACTAGCGGCGGGAGACGTGTTTCCGTCGTTGCGCGTGGCGTCCGTTGCCACTGACAGCTTGCGCACAGCAAGCACAGATACGAGCGGCAGCTGCGCAACGGTCTGCAGTCAGTCGTACGGCGGCACGGCGGTGTCCACGGGTGCCACCAGGGGGCAGCAGCAGTGGCTTCAGGTCAACGGGCGTGTTTCGCCCGAAGCGAGGCAGGCCGTTCGCGACTCGAAGTCGGTTGCTGAGCTCAGCCAGACTTTCCGTGGCCTCGGCATCTCGTCGCATGAGCCTGTCAAGGAGCCCACTGCGGTACCAGTATCATCACTGCTGTCTGTGTACAGGTACAAGGACCTGGAACTGACCAGACAGGCATGCAAGACAGGGTTCATATGCAGGCGACCCACTGTTGATTATTCACCAGTCAAACTATCACTTGAGCCACCAGTGTTGTCCACGGTGTGTGATACACCTGTGCTGGTAAACAATTCCCCTAGTAGCAGTTATTCACCCGTGAAGGTGACCGCCGTGAGTGTAACCACGGTAACAGGGAAGACGTGCAGGATCCACACGAAGACGATAATTAGTGAGACAGAAGCCAAGCAAGGAACTCCACAGTGGCTGCAGGTCTGTTGGTATCACCGGTAGAACTAGAAGTCGTCGTCATGACTATTCAATCTTGTTGACTCCTTTCCCCTTAATTTTTAGCTCATCTGACATAGTCAGTCTGTCTGTGCGTCCGTCCGTCCGTGCGTCCGTCCGTCCGTCCGTGCGCCCGTCAACAGTTGGGCACAAATCTAAACGGCTCGACGTACGGTCACGATATTCGGGACGTGGGGGGGTAATCCGAAAACGAGTTGGGATGTCGAAGCTGGGGGTCAAAGGTCAAAGGTCAAGAGGTGTTTTCCTCCCTATACCTTAAGTTAAGGAGTGAATGTTCCCCCTTATTTTTTTAGAATTGCGGCACAAATCTAAACGGCTCGACCTAGGCTTGTGATAGTCGGTGTATAGCATCATGGTAGGAAAAGCCATCACTGTGCCGAAATTGGAGGTCACACCCAAAGGTCAATGGGCACAGGGCAGATTTTAGACATTTTCTGAGGACATGTGCGCTGTGTGACGAAGCGATTGAAAAACCTTTTTTTGTTTCAGTGGTGACCTACTATTTTTATGGCTTTATTGAAAGGAACATGAAATGTGCTTTCCAACTGACGTGGCGAAGAGTAAGTGTCTGATAACCTTTTGACCCTCAAGAGGAGGGTTAAACATGGATTTGTTGACTGTATAACAAGGGAGTAAACTGCTTTTGCTATTAGAGCCCCCTCCCCCTACCCCCCCTTCCCCCTCCCCCACCCCTCGCCCCCGCCCCTTCCCCGATCTCCCCCACCACCCTCTCCCCCCACCCCTCCCCCTAACCCTCCATCCAGCGATAGTGGCCGTGTCCTAACAAGATGTGTATCGCAAACCTTTGGCCGGTTTGTTCCCCCCCTGCATAATCTGGCGCCTAACAAATGTGGTACTACGCACGACTGAAATTTTACGTTTATAATCGTAGCAACAGACCTCAGATGAGCCCAGACGCTCTGCGGCTCTTGTTCTCGTATTAATCCCAGTAGATCTTTCTCACCACTCACCAATTAGGTGACTGATACATTGTCTAGACTTCATTACATTGGTGGTCCATTGATATCGGAATCGGTATTGCTAATTCATAGGCCTACACTATCACAAGGATGTCATCCAACATTGAGAGTGATGTTCACGTCACACCCATTGTCAGCAGACAGTCTGGTGTGCAGGACTCACTGACAGCATTAACTGAAACGACAGAAGCACTTGCACTGCAGGAGTCTGTGATAGGTAGGAAGATATCTAGGTTTATTGGCAGCGGTTATGACATTACAGTCATGTGCAACGTGAAAATTGGTAGCTGGTACAAATGTGGTTGTTAAGGCTGGTCGTTAAATTTTAGAATTTATTGTATGTGCAAAAAGTCTCATCATATAATATAGCTATATAATCTAACAATAACAGTAATATACAAAAGCTGATAAAGAACTGTTCTCTTGTCTAGGCGGTGCCACTGTGAAGCCAGCGCCCCCTGATGTTGTAGCTGCAGTGATTGCAGAATCACAGAGAAAATATCGGCTTAAGATGGCATCTGACCAAGGTCATGGATCCAGGACGTTTGAAGGAGGAGATGATGCAAGTTTGCCTGGTACGCTTACATGTACATAAACTCACGATCCTAAAAGGATTTCATATACATTGAGAAAATACCACAGTCGAAGGGATGTGCACGTTTTTGCACAGCAACGGCATTTGTATAAACGGAAATGTTGCAAAACTACTTATATTAGGATTGGATTTCGGTTTGGTTTGGAGCTATATAAATTATAATGAACATGTGTAGTATAGGTAGAAGTGCAGAGGTGTTCTAAATACCCTGTGTCTGTGTTTAGTAGGGACAGAGCTATTTGAACTGATGGAGTCGGCCGAGGGGGGCAGTCCTTCAGGGGAATCCAAGAAGAGGAAGGCCAAGAAAGGCAACAAGAAGGATCAGAAGCGGAAGTGGCTGGAGCGAGCTAAAGAACTTGATAAGGAGATTGACAACACATCAACAGTCAGTGTTTCCTCACAGGTATCACAGAATATTATCGAAAATATCAGTTGTTAGGAGTTATATAATCCTACAGATAAAACAGAGCAGAGCACATCATGTACAAATTACATTTTGTGGACTAGCAGGACCTTTTTCATGCTTTTCCTCAGTGGCTTTACTTGCAACGTGACACGTAATATCCTATATAATTATTATTGTTAGTATTATTGTTTCTATTATCATTACTGCAAGGTGCTTGGCCAAAATCAGGTTTAATGCAGATGTTGTTGTTGTTGTCGGTGGCAGGCGATGGACACAAGTGGAGATGCTAGTATGTCGACCAGTCTATTGGTGAGTCAGGTGAAGCATGCCTCCGACGCATGCGACAATGACGACGACGCGACGCTAGAGGGCGCCTTGACCGAGGAGGAGCTCTCCAGCTTGCAGGACCTCACGGCGGACATCCCGCATGGGGGATACGTGCCGCCGACGGAACGGCCGACACGCAGTGGCTCGCCGCCGACGGAACGGCCGACACGCAGTGGCTCGCCGCCGACTAGGGATGACTCGTCCAGCTGCGCCGCGCCGTTCCACTTTGCGACGTCCACCCCCGCGCGTGATTGCGACACGACCACCTCCAGCGTCTACTTCACGCCCGCGTCGGCGGGAGCAGCGACATCTGGTGGCGGCAGCGACTACTACGAGCTGCTGCGCGAGAAATCGCACCTCGAGGGTCGGCTCGAGGCCGTCATGGCAGACGGGCGCGCGTCGCTGCGCGAGAAGTCTGAGCTGAAGGCGGAGCTGGCGCGTTCGCGCTCGCGACTGCGCAGCCAGGCCGACGCGTCGCATGTCGCCGCCGGCGAGCGCGACGCATCCGTCGCCGACCTCGCGAGCCTGCGAGGTCACCGTGAGCAGCTCGAGCGCTCGCTCGTTGCCCTGCAGGGGGCGCTGGAGGAGAAGGCCGCCGAGATGGGACTTGCGCAGGTGGCACTGTCGGGTATGCGCGAGACGAACGAGGGACTGCAGGCACGCATCGACGAACTGAAGACGGAGCTACAGGTGGGCACGCGCCGCGTACAGGGAATTCCGGGAATCCTGGAATATTCCAAAACATCTTTTACCAGCGGCCCGTTACCAGAAACACGAATCGTCGTAGCATGTGAAAGTTAAAGTAAATGTTAAGAATAATTTTGTCTCTGATGATGAGCACCAGGACTGGAATGTATAAATAGTGTTAATTAGCAAATTAGTATGAAAGCATAGTGTGAATTTGGCAGAACCTTGATCTTGCATGTAAAACATGCGAATTTTGTTATATCTCTTTACGTATTTGGAGATTTCTATGTATTTTAGTATGGATGTTACTACACTGCTAGTGGATATTAAGGCCTTTTTTTATTACAGGCCAAAGAAGGAGTTGTGAAAGACCTGAAGGATAAAATAGTGGAGCTGCATGTGGAACTGCAAACTACTGTGCAGGAGAAAATGCAGGCGGATAACAGCAGCCGGTAAATCCTGTGCTGCATTTCACACGTCAATCATCAAGCATAGCACGATCTCAATATTCAACATGCTGAACATGTTGAAAACACTGGCAATTTTCACAGAGCATCTCTGACAGCTAATCGCTAACACGATGTGTGCCAGTGTTGATTAATCGGGCAATTAGAAATCTCTTGCGAGCCACTGGATTCCTCGTGCATCATCAGGGTTCTCCCCAGGATGAAATTCAAACAGGGGGGAGGGGAGGGGAAGGGGGAGGGGAGGAGAGGGGGGAAACTAGGGCGGTCCGGGGGGCGTGTTTTTTTACCGTACCACTAATTAATGCGTAAAATCGCCACCACACCATAGACGGTATTTGGGGTTCTTGTATATATAAGATAGCCAAGTCGGTGTACAGTTAGTGTTGGGTGTGGGACAGGTTAACTGTTTGTACTTGTGTATTGTGTGCAGTCCATGCGTGGCATGGTAAAAATACACGCGCCGGGTGTCCTGGTCGAATGGGAGTTCTTGACGATCGATTCCCGCGCTGGCAAACTTTTATTGTGGTGGAATTTAATCGGGGCGGAGGTAATTTAAACGGGGTGCAACGATTGAAACAGGGGGGAGTTTTCCCAAACGGGGCGCGCCGATTGAAACAGGGGGGAGTTTTCCCAAACGGGGCGCGCGCGCCCCGTTTGCACAACGTAGGGAGAACCCTGATCATAATAACATCTTTGCTGTTTTGTCGTGGTGCAAGTAAATGTTCAGACGAGTGCTTCGTATGTAATTCATGTCTGATGAAATTCTCTCCGGCTGTATTAGTTCGTTGAAGAATGAGATGGCTGCAACGCTGAGTGCAAAGGACTGGTATCAGGAGCAGCTGAAGTTTGCCCAGGAGGTGCGCAGCAAGATTCAGAAGGAGCTCGCGCAGCTGCAGACCAGTGCCGTCGTTCAGGTAACCATGGCAACCACGTATCTATGAACATGTGGGTCGTGCGGGTGACCATGGCAACTTATCAACCCCTGGTCCTGTGCGACTTTTACGATGAATAATTTGTTAACCTTGATTTGTCAGTCGATCGCTCGTTGAGAGGTTTTACGATTCTGGGGGCTGTTGTCAAAAGCATCATAGTAGTTATGATGTCACCAGTCTAAAATGTCGCAACTTTTAAACTGAAGTGAAGTCTCTATGGAATAAATGCCAAAGTTTTAAGATTTTAGACTTATGATACCCAAAACTATTCGCGATATCTCCGACAATGGTGTCCCCGATCACCTCGGACATGATCTGTGAACGGGCACACCCTCAGTTTTTTCATTGTTTGTGCGTGCGCAGGGGAGCCTGGTAGAGAAGCTGCGCTCGGAGAATGCTCAGGTCAGACAGCAGCTGCTGGAGAGCCAGCAGCGGGCAATGCAGGACAAGGAGTCTCTCGCACGCAACCTGGAGACAATACAGGCTGACATCATGGAACGTGAGGCAGCTTTCGAGCAGGTGCGTGCTCCCTCTAGTGGTTACTTGGCTGGAAGCACACTTCGACGTGAATGTGCACGCACGTAAATGATCGAATGCGTGTGGAGATTCGTGCCCCGTGCGCGATTGTGTATACCAGTGTGTGCGTGCAGCAAACACACACAGTCTCGTATATTGTAGAGCGTAATTTGGATGTTACAGTTCAAAGTATAATAATCAAGAAGACGTATAGCATTTGTGTTCACTAAAAGAATATATTGTTTACAAACAATTCTGTCGCTCGTCAAGTCACGTCTTGTCTCGTTCCAGTCCCACAGTTCTCCCGTTCAACCGACCTTCCACCCTTTATGTATGACTCTCTCGTCCAATCACAGCCCAGTTCTACTCTTTACTCTCACCAATCACACACCACTCTCTCCCTGATTCGAATATTGCGCGGGAAGACCATATGGTGAACATCTGTAACCTAACATCCGTGTAGAACCCCACCTTACTATTTCTCATCTCTATGCCAAACGCCCAACCCTTCTCTCTGTACAACCCACCCTATCTACGATTACTAATCCAATGTGACATCTGTACAACATATGTAAAATAGACGTTACATTTACCTCCGCTTCATCAAAACGATGATCCCATCATCGAATTCAGCGTCCCGCTGATCTAAATGTCCTGTTTAACTAATTCCCAAGCCCCCATATCTAACACACACACACACACTCACATACACCCGTTCCTGACGAAATAGAGCCCAACAATAATAAATTCCGTTCCTTGTCCATCATACCGTCTACAATAACTCCTTCATGAACACATCCCCCCTCCCACATAATAACTGTACACAATTTTACACAACCTATTACCTACGGTACCAACCAGCACCATGGTATCCCAACGCTATGGCTTGACACTGCCGCCAACAAAATTCTCACTGACCACAATGATATAATACCATACTTGACACGAATTGCCAAGTAAACCATCCGTGCAATAATACAACTCCTTAAAAACCAACACTGCAGAACCTGAAATAGAACCCCCAAAACCCAAAATGTACCATAATACATAATACATACGGTATACCTGAAATACAAAACAACAACTCAAAGAAATATATACAATACAATATAATAATCTTGATGTTCACGACGATGTATACGACTGTTAATATCTGTCCTCGCCCTGTTCTTGATCCTCTGCGCTGCTTCTTCCTCGATGTCCGATGCAATTAATGATCAGTCGGTCGCAATGTCATAATGTGGCTGTGCATTTCGGAATTTCTTCAATAATGACCTAATGTTTGCCAGAATATTCCCACCAACAACCGGATAATTTGCTAACACATTAGTGTTTTGTGTAACAACATAATTGTTCTCACAAAATTTGAAGATCGTCTAATTCTGCTGATTTGCCGTTGCAATTCTCGCTGAAGGTATTGAAGTCACTGATGTGATGAAATAGTTTCCTTCCTCCTCTTGCCAAATAATGGTGTACCGGACTGTCGCTCTGAGTGTCGCTGCTGAAATATTCCAACTGTGGCAGCGGAAGATTCGTCAGATGCGCTCCTGCTCCCATCATGTCTCGCTGTATCTGCAACAATTTCGAAACCACACCGACAGCATAGCTCCTCCTAACCCGATATCACCATGGACCATGCCCTTAATATATGCGTGCGCACACATTATCTAAAAATCGCAATCCTATGTAATACCCACAATTCAAAATCTATATCAAGCCACCAGCCCATTTACTAACACAACCATCCTACCTAATCATAAACATTTTAATTCTTAACCGCCTTACTCCCCATTCTCGTAACATTTTAATCCTTTCACTCCTTACCCCACAATCATTTTCCTACACTTATAGCTAACTCTAAATCACCGTCCGCACCATGGTCCCCCGATACTAAGAACGCTCAATGCTACCAGCAATATTAACTCACGTATGATTAATCATAAATAATGCATTCAATCCTGCATAATAGACAATAATAGCAGACTGCACTTCATATATTACACTATTTACAATCTGGTACCAATACTCTCACTCACTCAACCATAACACATGCATGCCATTCAAACGACTTATCAAACATCCACTGGCAGCATTCTGTAAATGTTCTAATTCCACCTACACTGACACGCTGCACCCTGCATTCACACCGTAACTTGTGTGCCATACTAAACGTGTGTCCTACCATCTCCTGTCCGCGGATACGTTATACTAAACCTGCTCTCACTCTCCCGAGGTGCTGTCACACTCCACAAAGGAAATGTAAGGCGATGACTCCCAGAAGTCCGTGGATTCCCAGCCGAGGCGCGGATTATGCGACTCCAACGCTTCTATACACTGTTCCTTGAACGATATCTGATCTGACAATTGGCGATGACCGCAACTACTTTCCTAAAACGACAGTAAACAACTGCAACAACATGCACTATCCCTATTAATATGATCAATGCATAAACTGTGAATGATGTACAACTGCTTGCGAACTTCCAATCCCTTTAAAATCCTATTGCCCAAATGATTTAATGGTTACATTATTTTTGAGCAGCTTCAGTAAGTTCCCCGAAAGGCGACATCTAAAATCTGTATCTTATAACAATTTCTCTGGGACAATCGAAGATGCATATTAATTTCGTATACATTTCCTTTTTAATGTCCGTGTCTACAAACAATTCTTTCCAAATAACCAACGCAATCAGCTGTTGAGTCCTCCCACTGATTAACGTAATTTTTCACAATGATTTTGGCTCTCTTGCACATAATAACACAGGAATGGAAAACGGCCTTTGTATCTGCCTTACATCCAGGACTTAACGAAATGACCCCTCGTACCTCAACATTAAAAATTGTAACGTGATACCTTTTCCGTGATAGCATGTTGACATGACAGCAGTGACTCTCAATGAATATTGGTGTTTACTACAATACACAATTCCTTGGTCAGATTGAAAATTACTGCTGGCTGCGGTCGTGAGTAAAACAGGATGCGGCTTTTGCAGAACTGCAATGTCATTAGAATCATTCTTAAATAAGGCGATTACACAAGAATTGACAATATTTGTTGATCGTCTGACTGTATTTAGATGACAGATATCACGTTTCTCCTGAATACATGTGCGTACACTGCGAGTATCAGGTTCGACATAATGCGAGTGATCTAAGGAAATGCCCAGGAACTGCTGTGAAAAATCAAAATATGCATACATTGTAGTGTAATTTGGAAAATACACAGGAGGCCGATATATTTCATACATGGTAAATGTCTGCTCCCTATGCCGCAATGGCAATACTGCTACCACTTGGATACCATCCGCAATTGGCAGTGCGACTGTCTTAATTATTGAATAGTAGTACAATAGGTCCCCCTTCCCGCTGCGTGGCAACATGAGTGATGCTGGAAGATTCCCTTTTATTTCCTGAAGTAACATCTGTAGCTGGCTTGGAGAAATCAGTGCTGTCGGTAATCTTCCTGCTAATAATGAATTAATATTATTCGCCAACTGATCAAATGTGTCTTGTACATGCGCAAAAGACAACGCCAAACTGCTTATTGTAATCTGTAACCTTGAAAGTGATTTCAAATATGTAAGTGTTTGTATTTGAAATTGAGAAAAATCTCTGCCAATTTTATTAACCATTACTGTTACCTGTCGCGTGTCACTCGTTAAGTGCTGCATTACTTTAGTGTTTAATTCAGTGTGAATCCTTGTGAAATTTAAAACCGTGACTGACTGATTATCAAATGTCTCATGCTGTCTCCCGATCCCTGCAAGGCAATTATTTCCTGTTGCAACTGCTTCACATCCGCCTCAGTAGCCGTCCCAAATATCATTTTAGATAATCTACCAATCCCCGAAAAAATAGCCCGCTTTGAACGATGATGTTGATACAGAGAATGTATATCTTGCAACCGTGTTGTTAATGAATACAATTTACTACGAAACCAGGCCACATGATTATTAATAATAATATTCAGATCCATTGCCAATTGCGAGTCAGACCCATTTTGATTTTGCGATAGCCCGGTTTTGTGCCGGTGTCAGTTGGCAACAAGAGTAATTCTTTACCAATACCGCCATGTAGTGATCAATCTGTGTATATATTATATATTAAACGAAATTAGCCAGTGACTTTCAGTTAGCCGCCGCATTTCTGCCTCGCGGACACAAATACCGCGCCTGGACTTGCATGGATCTGCTCCACTGACAAGTCTCCCATGCTCTCTTGCAGGAGAAATACAACAACTGCCTTGGAAATAGAAAACACAATGGTATATAATTCCTGACGTGTAGCACAACTACTTCAGGCGAGGCGAGAGTGAATGACGTCCTCCTCCACTCATCACTGTCGTCTGCGGTGCCTGCTGCGGTGCTCACAAATTTAGCACTCCGTTCGCGGCTGTACCCCGTCTGTCCGTCGTCAGTACTTTCTCTCGTGGCACGTACTTGTCCATGCATCCTGTGAGAAAGCTGGCGCGAGGTTATCGACATGTACCGCATGTGTACGCCTGACCGTACATGCCTTAATAAGGAATTAACTACGACAACTGCTGAACTACTACGTAATATGGTCGAAAATACGACGCAAGCTTCCTCGACTGGGATGGCTTCGTCGTAGGATTATACCAATAAACAGAGTCCCAGGCACGAACTCCTGCTGTTTAGCTCTTTTGTCATAAATAACCTTATTCTTCTCCCGTGTACGCCTCGTGTTCTCTTGAATCTGCGTATACGCTCGATGAAGCCCGTCGAGCGCCAACGACACTGGGATCATCAGTGTACGATACCTTACGTGGCCGAAGGAATGTATCAACGGCATGACCGGGATCTCTCCGCTAGACAACAAAGAACGGCGTGAGTTGCATTGTTCCATGTACACTACTTCTTGTACGCGAACGAATGGACCCAGCTTTTCATCCCAACCCTTCCAGATCTGCCAACATAAACATGAAACCATATTATTAAAGTGCGGTGAAACCTCTCACACTGTCCATTACTCGCCGGATGGTAGGGCGACGTACGGATGTGATGGATTTTGAATTCCTCCGAAATGGCAGCTGTAAGAGAATTACAAAACTCCGACCCATTATCAGTCATGAACGCCGATGGACAACCGTGTGTAGGAATGAACCTGTCAACAATGAGCTGCGCAATCGTTGCGGCTGACTTGTCGGCGACTGCGTACGCTTCAGGGTATGATGAGTACAGATCCAAGAACGTAACTATGTACCTGTTCCCTCTGTCTGACACCGGTAAAGGCCCCACCGTGTCAATAGCAACCGTCTGGTTGACATAACTCGGCAATGGCGCATTTCTCATGGGTCCATGTACCCGTCTCAGCTTCCGAGCATTGCGATCTGGACACACGCTCGAACGTGTGTCTGAATGTCGGTGAACATGTGCTGCCAATAATATCGCTCGCACCCTCAAGTACGTTTTTGAAAGCCTAGGTGCCCAGCATACACATGGTCATGACAAACAACAAAACCTGTGGAACAAGAGATTTAGGCACCACAAGAGCTGTCGACATGGAACGCTGTCATGAGTGGCTGCTCCGAGATGAAAAGAATCCATCTTCTAGTATGAAATCAGCCATCTCCCTGCGTGACGGAGTGACGGATGCTCTGCCTCGAAGGTGCAACCATGTTCTTGCATAAGGGTCCTGCTGCTGCAATGAAAGAATCTGCTGTGTATGAACAGTCGAGATCTGTTTCAAGATTATCATTGTCACCCTCACGCACCACAGCCGCACCATCCTCCTCCTGCAAGCTTACAGGTGCGACGAGCATCGCCTGTTCTCGTGGTACCTCAGCAGTGATGTAGCCTTTGCTATCAGTCTGGTCGACTGGAACATCTGTAATAAGCCTCGATAACGCATCCGCTTGTACATTAAACCGGCCTTCCTTATAACGGATGTCAACATCAAATTCCGATATCTTGGCCGCCCACCTCTGCAACTTCGCGTTACGTATAGACTTCGTCTCAAGAAGAAACTTCAACGGCCGACATATGTACAACATATGTAAAATAGACGTTACAATATCAGTGTGCACAATGTTGTGTGATTATATCAGTGTTAATATTATCAGGTGTTTATATCAGTGTGTGCATGCAGCACACACGCACATTGTCATGTGTATATATCAGTATGTGCATGCTTTGTGTGTGACTGTGTACATGATGTTTAGTTCCGGCGTGCGTCATTGACAGGTGGAGCGCGAGAAGAACATGACGCAGGAGAGCATCAGGACGAAGCTGCATGCCACCGAAGAGGAGCGGAGCAAGATGTTCACGCTGACAATCAAGTCCACTGAGCTTGAACATCAGCTGGAACTCGCAACCAACGAGCTGAAGGTATGCTCCAACAAGGAATACAAAACCCGTCGGACCTACTGGCCCAACTGCATCTTGTGCCCAGATCCGGCAGAATTTACTCACACGCCGTATACCCATTATCCGACCTGTTTTGCCTACAACTGGGCATTTAACTTTAAGTTCCGACTGCTGTGCACAAAAGAATCAGTGGGTCCATCGCACGTCGGCCCATTTGTTTGGTTGAGAAGAAGGAGATTTCACGTTCTCTGACCATGCAATCCTTCTGACCTCGATCAGAAACCTGCGGCCCATTGTCAAAAACGTCACGAATACTTGTGACCATTGTCTAAAATGTAGCTGTTGGGCAACACTTCATGTGCAAAAGTTGTGACATTTTATGCTCATTATGTCATGACTATTGTGGTAAATCTAACAGTGTTTGACACGATCTGTTGACGCAGAGCAGCAGCTTGTGTGTGATATCAGTATCCACGTGATAACTGGATTAAGATGGCTGATAAAGACTTTGAGTATCATTTCCCAGACCCTGCATACGGTTTGCTAACCGTGATCATTTACATAGCTGGCAGTTCACAATTGCTATCAATATATCACTATTTACTACACTTTTGTCATCTTGATCTCTTCCATCGCATGGAAATCTTACAAAATCTTTGCCTCAGGTGCGGGAAGCCGCACTGGCCACGTTCGAGGACCAGCAGAAGGAACTGCTGTCTAGACTGGCGCTGTCACAGGAAGCGATTGCCACCAAAGACCTGGAGCATGACGAGGTCACGCAGCAGTACATGGAGCTGCAGTCTAAACTGGCAGCCCTGCAGAAGGACATGGATGCGCGTGATGCAGACATACACAGGCTGAAGGAGAGCAAGGCTGCTGTCGAGGTAACGTGTGAGTGGAATGTAGATCATGTTGAAACAATAGTGTGCATGTGAGGGTTTCTACTGGTCCTGTAAAACCTCTGGGAGAGTCCTGGGGCCGGATTCAAGAAGAAATGCGTACGATCATGTGCGTATGCACAACTTTAGTTGGCATTCAAGAGACGTGTGTGGGGTGTACGTACGTACATGTTACTGAATCCAGACTAAAGCAGCATTGGCATATCAAAAATCTATAAAAAGTGGACGAGGCTTACTTTTGGCCAGTGGCAGTGAACCTAAAGCCGGCGTTAGGTCGAGTTGCGATTGAATGCGACGCGACGCACTGAAACTCACTGCGACTGAGTGCTTCGGTCAACGGCGACGCGACTGACAGCGACTGCCAGTGACCAGTCGCAGGCAGTCGCAGAAGGCGTTTAGGTCGAAGCTACGATCGCTTATAGATCGCGCAACTAAATGCGTTTACATGACTTGTTGCTGTGTGCATGTTGTGTACATGACTGTATGCACTGATTGTTTTATTCACATGCATTGTTCATCACAGCGATCGCAAGTCAGCTTATGTCGAGTAGTAACCATGAAAAACAATGCTTGCGACCGGTGGAACTAGTCGCGTCGCGTCGCAAAAGTAGAACATGCGCGACTCGCTGCGACTAACAATTTTCCAGTCACTGAGCAGTCTCCTCACAGACCCGTCGCTGACAGTCGCAGGGGTGCTTAGGTCGAACTTTCTCTGCGATGCAATCGTCGCTGCGACTTGCAACCAGTTGCAGATAATCAGTCGCAAGGCAATCGCGTCGCGTCGCAAGGCCGACCTAAGCCTGGCTTTACATTGTGTTTGTCAGGGTCTGTAATTAAACATGCATGGGTTGCGCGGCACGCTCACTGTTCACGTGCGCTACGTTGCGGAGTAATTCGCACATATATTGACATCCATACATTTCACGTTTGGATGTAAACAATAAAGTATCACTGCTAGTTCAGAAAAGATCATTATACTGCTTTAAAATAATAAAAATGAAGATTCAGGTAATATGGCATGCTGAATTATACAGTAAATAATAATAATTTTCTCAAGTTGACACACATAAGTCGCTGTAACTGCAAAGCGCGTCGTATTACTTATAACTATTACTAGTCATGCGAACAGCAGTACAGCCCCGTCGCACTACACAGGTTTAACCGTGTCATATTGTTTTGAACGTTTGGAAAACCTATGTACATTTTGTACAGGGTGGAGCTTAATAAAAGCTTCCCTATGTTATGACCAAACGTGGTTTACGTAAAACAACTCTCAGTGATGTGCTTTCTCATTTGCATAGCTTCCTGTCTCCCAATATTCTGTACACCATCTAGCACATCAGGCAGAATGTTGGCATCAAGGAGAATGTCATCTAATTCTCGGATTGGTAATCAATGTTGGCTTTTCAAAACCCGAAAGCAGTACTCAAAAACGCACATAGTACAAGCGAGAACTTTATTATAACGTAATATAGCTCTGAAAACTCAACCCTAGTTTCGCCTGATTTGGCTGGTTCCTTATGTTTACATTACTCAACTTTGCCTTTGCTTTTTCCATTAAATCAACTAACCTACCGTCAGTAGCATTGTTTTCCTCTGCCAGCATCCACGAGGCTAAACACGAGGCTAACTCGCACTGTGATATATATGCCCCGAACAATAACTTTATCATTCAAGATGTATGATATATATACAGTAAATGACCATGCAGTGTGGGTGTGTGTGAACGCGTGCGCGTGTATGATGCTGATGGAGACGTGTCTGCAGCAGCCCCAATACCAAATCCAGCAATATCTTGTGGGAGAAACAGTGACACAAAGAAGGGGGCTGTAACGCTGACACCATCGACATTTATGACAAGGCATAAGCAGGAACAGAACCAAGATAGGAGTTGCTGGATACACAAAAAATATATTCCCAGAATTTTATATTTTGCTTAAACATCGTGATTAGCATGCTACATGTAATTGTATCCCCCGCGACGAAGTCGGCGGGGATACTATGGTTTCAGGTCTGTCCAGCCGCCGCTGCCGCTCTGCTCCGCCGCAGACACTTTCCCTTCTGCTCTATAACTCAACCCCTAATTGACCTAGTGCTACCAAACTTCGTATACTTACACATCTTGGGGAGAAGGTGTGTCGCGTACCAAAACCACGTCACTGCGGCTTTTATTTGACCTTGACCTTGATCATATTTCCCTTCCGCTCTATAACTCGGCCCCTAATTGACCTAGCGCGAGCAAACTTCGTATACTTACACATCTTGGGGAGAAGGTGTGTCGCGTACCAAAACCCCTAAAGCAACCAATTTTAACATACTTGCACATCTCAGGCAGATGAGTTGCATAACAAACCTTTTGTCTTTGTGACTTATTTAACTTTACCTACCTTCTACGTCCTTACAGAGATATTTCATTCATACTAGATCACGGGGGATACATGTAGTTGGCGACAACTGCCCTTTCTAGTTATGAATTGGTGTGAGCCAAAACAGGAAGTTGCCAAAAGTAAGGGACAATATTTCAGCTTATAACAACCATGAGCAGATGTCTACAACGTTTAAAAAGTTCACTATAAAGTTACGTAAATATAGGTAGATAGAAACTTTAAATACAACTTTATTTCATTATACATTTACTTATATGCTTTTACTGAAATACATGTTGTATTAAAACAGTGGGTAATTACTTATTATATTGTTTCTCGATCATTTTGAAACAGGAAAATGTGCAACTTTATGCCCTAATTATATCATTTGCCTTTCATAGCAAACTGGCAATACACTATTATTAGCGTTTAATTTGGTATCTCTGCATAAAATGCAGTTTCAAAGCTCAGTTATTGTGCATGCGCATGGTCGCTAGTGTGCATACCGTACACACGAAATAGAAGGATTCTGACGAAATAGAATTCTTTGTGAATACCACCTAAATGCCTGTTTGTGCATATGAACGTTCGTACGCACGATATTGTGCGTACAAAGTGTTCTTGCATTCGGCCCCGGAATTATACATTGCCATTTTCCTGGTGTGGAAAGTCCAGGGAAAAAGTCATTGTTATGTTTAGTCCCAGTTAGTCCTTAAAATTAGCACACGTCCATCTTGTCTCAGTCAAGTAAATATGCCTCATGCGAGGTTCCCTAATTATAGTTCATTCCTTGATTATTGATTGAATGATATCAAGTCACAGAGATTTTTTGTCTAAATTCTGACGATCGTGGAAAATACTTTTTAAGTCCTGGGAAGCTTTTGGAAAACACCTGTGAAATTTTGCCAAACCCTAATTTACATGGCAGGGGTGCTTCTGAGGGAAAATTAGACAAAGGAAGTAATGGCCAGTTTGGGGAAAAACGCTCATGATGGATTCAAAGGAGTGTCGTAGGCACGCATGCGGACGCTGCAGGCAGACGCGGGGGGGGGAGAAATGGAGGGGGAACTCCCCCTCTCGCTGGGGGGGTTCTGGGGGGTCTCCCCCAGCAAAATTTTAAAATTTTGAATGTCTTAGACAGCATTTGAGGCACCCTGAAAATAAAATGGCAGGTAAGTACAGGAACATTTTCACAACGGTGATGTTAAATTTGACAACAGCGGTGCACCACTGTGCCTCTTATGTATAAGAAACCCTGGATGGTATAAAATGAAATATTTCTATCTTTAGGTTCAGCTGTCATCTGCTCAAGACGAGAAGAAAGTGTTTGACCTTGCCTTGCAGAAATTGAAGGGCGACATGAATAGGGTGGAACACAGCTATAGACTAATGAGACAGGTGTGGCATCGAAATTAGATTTTCCCCGATATTTATTGCGCGAAAAGTAGTTTAACATTAGCGTTAGGTTCACAGTGCAAAACACAAAGACTTAAATTGAGTAGTTAACTGGATTATGTTCTCAGTGAGGCCGAGAAAGCCTGCAATTTTTAATTTGTTTGTCTTATCACTACTGCATATATATAATTTAAAATGCTCACGAACAATGGCAGTGCCTTCAGCTTAGCTGAATTGAAACACATTTGCTTATGCTTTGCCATGTCGCAACTTCCAGGAGCTTAATGTGAAAAGCACACGGCTGGAGGAGGTACAGCGTGACAAAGATAGGCTAGAGATGGAACTTGCTGCAGCCCAGGAGCAAGTCCAGACTCGCATGGATGTTACTGCACACCAGGTGGCAGCATCAGCAATGGACGATCTCAGAACACAGAGGTTGGGCTACGAAGAAGAGGTGTGTGCGACATCTTCGTTCATCATTACCAGTGTCAAAAACGATTTTAAACATTACATTTCGCTTTATATATATTATATATCATACGTGACGCCTTCGTTCATCACCACAAGTCTTTTCCAGTGTCGTTGAAATTTTAAACCTTACATTAGTGGGTGCTTGAATGTGTTACGTGTGTGTACATGCGCATGTGAGTGTCTGCGTGAATTCTGATGTGGTAAACTATATAACATGATGTGGTATCTAGTGAATAAAAAATCTAACTTATAGTTATTATGATTAGCTCATCTGACGTAGTCAGATGCAGCTTGTAGAATTGCATGATCGTGCGTGCGTGCGTCCGTCAACAGTTGGGCACAAATCTAAACGGCTCGACGTACGGGTTCGAAAGTCGGGACGTAGGGGTGTAATTCGAAAACGAGTTGGGATGTTGAAGCTGGGGGTCAAAGGTCAAGAGGTGTAAAAGAAGGGGGAACATTCCCACCTTAACTTAAGGTATAGGGAGGAAATGCAGAATTGCGGCACAAATCTAAACGGCTCGACCTATGCTCTTAATATTCGGTGTATAGCATCATGGTAGGAAAACCCATCACCAGTCCGAAATTGGAGGTCACAGGTCAAAGGGCAGTGGGGGAAAGGTCAGATATCAGACATTTTCTGAGGACATGGCCTAATGGACAGAGTGAAAAACGTTTTTGTTTCAGTGCTGACCTACCATTTTTATCACTTTATTGAAAGGACCATGAAATGTGCTTTCCACTGACGTGCAAAGAGTAAGTGTCTGATAATCTTTTGACCCTCAAGAGGAGGGTTAAACATGGATTCCTGAACTGCCTCAATGATATCACAGTGTTCTAATATTCATGGCACATCCATAATCTGGAAACGCAATATGCCTCGATAGCCAAACGGCTACAGCACAGGATTACGGCTCAAAGGTCCTTGGATCGAATCCCATCAGATTTTTTATTATTTACCTGTTTACTGTATTTTTCTATCTTTATCCATTTAACTATTTCTTTCCAATTAAGGAAAATATTTACATGATTTATTTACAACAATTTCATAACAACAAATAATGTTTACAACAATTTCATAACAACAAATAATTTTTACAACAATTTCATAACAACAAATAACCCTTTTTTTAAATAGGGTTAGGGTCACAATGCACCATAAAACAGGAGTTTCAGGCACGCGATTTGTATCAACCAATGAGATTTGGGAGGTATGCAGAAGGTTGCTGAAATGATGTGTACGCAACTGCGTATCTGCATAACTGCCTAACAAAGGTGTCACTACGCACGACTTAAATGTTACGTTTATAACCGTAGCAACAGACCTCAGATGAGACCAGACGCTCTGCGGCTCTTGTATTGTAAATAAACTCTCACTTAATCTCCATAGCCCGTGGAATTTCACTTACCTGTAAGAATTGTCCCACAGAGCTATTGTTTTGGCACGTTTTTGTTATGTTGATATGCTGCGTGCTACATGCTCAATCTTGCTTATATATAATATTATATTATTTTTTTATTGTTATTATTATTGTCATCATTACCATTATCGTTGTTTGTTTATTATTTGCCCATTGCTGGTGAATTTACTATGTTGTATATAGCTGATGAAGCTAAGGCAGGCGAAGCAGTCAATGATGAGCACGTGCCAAGGGCTGGACAAGGAGAAAGATGGCTTGCAGCAGGCTCTCCTGACGACGCACAAGAGGTTCAGTGATCTCGAGATGCATCTACAGGATGCGCTTGGCCAGAGGGCAGCACTAGAGCAACAGGTTAGTGGAGCAGTAGCGTTAATAATCGTGCATAAGTTTTACTCGTGTGATCCTGAGCGCGGCGTCAATTACCTCTACTACCTTCCTATGCATGGTGTCACAGTGCCCTGCCCCGTGAGTGCACGTAACTGTGTCTCTCGCACTGCAGGTGAGCGAGATGACGGCTGTGCACACACTGGGTGCAGACAAGCAGCAGAAGCAGTCTCACAAGGAGCTCTCCAAACAGAAAGCGAAGGTCGTGCGGCTGATGAAGGAGCTGGAGGAGGTCAGAGACGAACTAGAAAGGAAGCAGGACGAGTACAACTCCAAGTGAGGGTGCTTTCTCGATTACCAGTGCATATCCACATAGATAGACACATATTAGCGTGCAGTGTTTCCCCTGGCCAAAAAGGTCAGCGAGGCGGTAAAAAAAATTTGGGTGGTTGCGCAATCCGAGAAGCAAGCAATGCAAGCAGCGAAGGTGATCGTCATGCTAGGGGGGTCCGGGGGCATGCTCCCCCGGGAAATTGTTTAAAAATTTTGCAATTTGGTGCATTCTAAGCTATTCTGAACACATATGAGACTCTTGAATCACTTTTTCAAGTTGTCAAACGGAACAAACAAGCTTCTGGGAAAGGTTTTACTTTCGTTTTTCTCCTCCCCAGTCCTTGGTACCCCCATGCATAGATCAATGCTGCCGCATATCCGCAAAGTTACAAGTGCCTAGAATCTTGAAGTATATGCAATTTACATTGCTTCTAGATATCTAACTGAATAAAAATAGTCCACTTTCTACATAAAGAAAAGTGACAAATTCAGTTAACAGCTTTGATTACATGCGTGTCAGGTGTCACTGGTCGTGCCCTCACTCCCCACGATAACCCCTGCGACATATGAACTTATTGTTATGCGGGCATAAAAACACTGGGCTACGGTACATGCCGCTGCAATCGATTTCTTAGACTGTCACGAGGTTTTGTTCGTGTGGCGAATCATGCGTTGAGGGAGTTCATGCCCTCGGCTCTAGATGTTTTGGATACCCCGTCTACGTTCAGGAAATGGAGCATTTAGCATTAGAATGCGCTCCCGTTCACAATTTTGTCTAAACTGCCGTTGCGATAACCGTAGTATTTCAGCGTAATATGAGTTGGAAAAAGTGCCGGTCCAGTTTCGTAGAGATGGTGGCCGAAGCAAAAACTTGGTGGCCTAGGGGCTCCGGGTCGGCACTAATTTCGAACGCTGTCAATAAAGTGTAGTTTATTGATGGAAGAACAGTGATTTTCGTCAGCAAGGCGGTGTTTTTGGATAAATTTCTGTGTGGCAGCTGAGATTTGAGCGAAGTGGCCGCCTCGCTCGTGTCAATGCAGGGGAAACACTGAGCGTGTGTGAACTATGGGCGTATATATCGGTATATGAACCCTGTGTGTGTGTGTGTGCGTGCGTGCGTGCGTGTGAATGCCTGCGTGCGTGCGTGCGTGTGAATGGCTGCGTGCGCGCGTGCGTGCGTGTGTGCGTGCGCACGTGTGCGTGTGTGCGTACATGTGGCATGAACCTCAATCGTATGACTGTTGTTCGTCTCATGGTGTCTCGTTTGTGTGTGTACGCAGGGTGAATGTTCTTACACAGCAGCTACAGACTGCCAGTGCAGTGAGAAGCAAAGCCGAGGATGAACTGAGGCACCTGAATCAAGCAGAGACTACAGCGGTACCCCCTGACAGTGCTGCGGACCTTACAGGTCGCGACGCCGAACTCTTGGCCGTTGAATCCGCGGATGTTGACGACGCAGCCGCAGACGCGTGCAGAGATGTTGTCGTGAGTGAAGGTGACGGGGTGTTGCCAGAGGCAGACCAGGGCGCCGACGATGCCGGGAGGCGGGCGAGCGCGACAGAGCAGGCGGGCGGCGCTAGCATGCAGCTGATGCTCGCTCTGCAGCAACTTGAGAATACCAGGGAAGAGAAGGAAGATTTGGAGGAGCAGCTAGAGGAAGTCAGCAACCTGTTCAAATCGTCGGTGAGTTGCGTTCATCACGCGGGGCCATGATTCTTTGGCCGTGATTTCTTGTGAATCTGGAACTGCTCATCCTTGTCGTGATTTCTTTTGAATCCAAAATTGCTTATCCTTGGCCATAATTTCTTTCGAATCTGAAATGGCGCATCCTTGGCATTGATTTCTTTTGAATCGTAAATTTGCTGCTCTTTGTCCAGAACTTCTTTTCAATGTGAACTTGCTCTTACTTGGCCATGTTTTTTGTGAATTAGTTGACCATATCTAATCCATGGCAGGTGGAAGAGTACCAGCAGCACATTGCTGGCCTCCAAGTGGCGCTGGAGCAGGCGAGAGCAGACGCCAGTGAGCATCAGACTGAGGAGCTTGCCCGGTGCCTACAGTTGGAGCTGGAGAAAGAGAAGGGCAGACTTGCTGGTAAGCTCACAGACACTGAGGGCGTTTGGGTAAAAAGGCTAGCCATCGGTTAACTCCACAAGACCCTGAGCTTCTCTGACCCCCTAATCTAACCCTAACACTGACCTTAACTAAACCCTAATGGGAAATTCACATGAGTGTTCAGTGTACTTGGCATATTCTAACTATGTGTTCCTCCTTTGGCTCCTCTTTTACCTCTTAGGTATATATATATCAGGGGTTAATAATGACAAAAACGTGTGACAAAACAGTGACGCACGCGGGAATTTTTGCATTGGTACTTTCTGCCCGCGTGTGTCAACCTTCCCGTATGCGTCGCTCTGTCCCTACGCGTCACTCTGCCCGCCTGACGTCACTCTGCCCTGCCTGACGTCACTCTGTCCCCACACGTCACTCTGTCCCCACACGTCACTCTGTCCCCACACGTCACTCTGCCCCCACACGTCACGCTGCCCTGCCTGACGTCACTCTGTCCCCACGCGTCACTGTCCCCACGCGTCACTCTGTCCCCACACGTCACTCTGTCCCCACACGTCACTCTGTCCCCACGCGTCACTCTGTCCCTACGCATCACTCTGTCCCCACACGTCACTCTGTCCCCATGCATCACTCTGTCACCATCCGTCACTCTGTCGCCACGCATCACTCTGTCCCGCCTGACGTCACTCTGCCCTGCCTGACGTCACTATGCCCCGCCTGACGTCACTCTGTCCCCACACGTCACTCTGTCCCCACACATCACTCTGTCCCCACACGTCACTCTGTCCCTACGCATCACTCTGTCCCCACGCGTCACTCTGTCCCCACGCATCACTCTGTCCTCACACGTCATTCTACCCTGCCTGACGTCACTCTGCCCTGTCTGACGTCACTATGCCCCGCCTGACGTCACTCTGTCCCCACACGTCACTCTGTCGCCACGCGTCACTCTGTCCCCACACATCACTCTGTCCCCACACATCACTCTGCTCCGCTTGACGTCACTCTGTCCACACACGTCACTCTGTCCCCACGTGTCACTCTGTTCTCAAGCGTCACTCTGCCCCTCTTGACGTCACTCTGCT